ACTACTACCACTACTACTGCTCCTACCACCACTACTACTTACTACGAACCGCGAACTACGACGACGACTACTACTCCTCCTCCCCCGCCTCCTCCTCCTCCTCCTCCTGCTTCCACTATTCTGCTCCTCGTACTTCTACTGCTACCGCTACCATTACGGTTTTGCTGCTACTGCTGCCGCTGCTACTACCGGTACCACTACTACTACTACTACTACTACTACTACTACCATTCTCCTGCCTGGTGCCGCGCTGCTGCTGCTAGTGCTGCTACTACCGCTACCATGACTAGTACCACTGCCACCACTACCAACACTGCTGCTACTACCGTTGGGAGTATGAGAAGGCAAATAGGCGGCTTTCGCTGCAATAGGACACCCATCACGCGAGGCACTCTCAATGTATTACACAGTATCTCTGTGCTGCAGGTCCTCTCCAATCACATGATCAGAAGTTAGAATTGGGCAGTTCTTTTGAGTGGGCCGGAGGCTGCAACTGGACTTGGAGATGCGCGGGCTGCATGCTGCCAAAGAAACCTCGACTCTCGAGGCCGCCCGAGCTGAACTTGACTAGGTCGTCAGGCTCCACTAGGTGGAGTAACAACTCTGTTGTGAGGCACGCGAGCTTAGCACCGGCATCGCGGACTTACTTCACAGCCGCCTGCAAAAGGTCTGGCACACGGATGAAGTCGCTTTCTCGACAGCCATCGACAGCCCAATGGTTCTCTGGCGAACGCGTAGGGTGATCTCAACAAAACGCTCCGTGGAGAGTTTTCCTGAGAGTGCACCGAGGTGCCCAGCACACACTCGGGTTTCCTGGACAGCATGGTGACAATGGCATATTTGGCGAGACTCCTCCTGTCAGCTGCATCCGCATGTTCGGATCTTGATGTGCCTGACTGAAGTCGCGCTGCTGCTAGTGCTGTGGCCCAGACTACACGAGCAAAGGCAGATCAGACACGACCGTTTACGCCCGTGTCAATTAAACAACAAAAGCGGCATCCTTTGCACACACACACACACACACACACGCGCGCGCACGCAGACAGAGAGACAGTCCAGACTCCAGACTGCAGGCCCGACAACGCAAAAGGCGAAACAGAACAGGCCGACACCAACAGAAAGCCCGCCCAACCGCGACCTCGACACGGACATGTGTTCATGCAGACAGGCATGTGCATGCCGCCATGTCCCAGCCACCTCCCGACCCACATGATACGTTTCTCAGTCCGTCCGTCACATGTATAATCATGCGCTGCAGTGCTGCATGATGCCGTATGTTTTCATGTGCCAGGCGAGCTCAAACCCCTTCAGTGCGCAGAACCTGGACGCCCAACGTCAGCGGGAGCCGGTTGCAGCACATGGTTCGCATGCTTGAGTGTAGATGGACAGGAATCGGTCGATCGGGACATGGACAGACAAGAAAAAGTCAGCAGTAGCTGCTGACTTTCCTTCGAATTTGAAACATGGCCCGAGCGCACCCTAGAGTTTCGGCGACAGCATCTACGACATGCGGCGTACCCTGACGATATGCGAGGTAGAGGTCATTCTTGTCAACGCTGAAACCTGTACTTGCTCCTGTGAGTCGTTTGCAGGAGGAGAAGCGGCTCAAAGACAGCACGCAACGATTGGACTTGAAGCGCCAGGCAGCGCCCTGTAGACAAAGATAGTCTATGCAGCTGATATGCATGACTACTGGTGTCTTCGCATGCCATTGATCGCTAAGCAGTGTTGTCGCCAGCATGATCATGAGCTCTTTCTGTCATGTAATTTCACTTCGGCTTTGCACTATTCACTTCGGCTTTTGCACTAGCCCAGCAAATTCTTATTACCTTGATCTATGTTGGGTCTTTCGCCACGTTCACATGCTCAGAGGAACATGCCGAGCTGAAGCACAGGGCAAGCCAGGCCTGTCCTGTCCGCTGCAAAACTCTGAGTGTCTGTCTATCAGTATGTCTGCATGTTTCGTCAGCTAGTCGTGCAAAAAGCTCTCCGTCTCAGGCAGCTGCGGAAGCCAAGAAAATGGAGGAGGCAGAAGTCTCTTCAACGCTCCAAAAGCTCTCTTTGGCTGCGATCGTGTGAATGTCATGCCATGGCATCTACAAGTCTAAATCAACCAAGACCGCGTGATGCTGCAGTCACGTTGCTGTCCGTCGTCAGCATGTTATTTACACTCTTAGTTCCGTCTTGATTCGCAAACATGCACGCAGCTGAATCTGCCGTACCGCTCCATACGAGCAGCAGGGCCGGGTTTCTCTAGGTAGACGGGAGGGGTCCAAGCTTCGCAGGAGGATGCAGCCTTGCACCATCGGGTGCAGCTTTTCGAGCAGCAGCTGCGAGAGAAGCAGGCTCAACACTACGGCATTGACATACTGGCACTGGGCACTCCATCCTGGAAGCTCGAAGTGCCAGGGCCAGATGGAGCTGCACGACAAGAAGTTCGTTCATGAGGGGGCGCGACCCGACTATTGTCACGTCCATGATGCCTAGACTGCTGTTGTGGACAGTCTGAGCCGTCGCAAGTATTAACCACATGCGTTTGCCGGCTTCTCTCGAGCAGGGCCTCCTCCGCGAGCATGTGGAGGACGCTACATTTCATTGCACGTAGGGACACGTATCGACAACCTCTTCTTTCAATTTGTAGGAGCTCCGCAAGGCCGTTGCAAAGGAACAGACGAGCCAGATGCTTGGAGCCATCTACAGCAGTAGTCCCATACGCAGCACGGGCACAGGCACAGAAGTCTACACATGCTGTTTGCACACCCAGGCTTCATGGCCGCTGACCACTGTGCCGCAGCCAGCTTACGCTTATGCAGATCGTGATGCGCACCAGACGTGACTACGGGTCAGTGAACAACTAGCCTCCAGATCTCATAGCTTGCAAGATGAGTTGAGAAACGGTGCCTGCTGAGGCATAGCCGAGTCTGGTGCAACAGAGACATGCTAAGTTCAGTGGAGCGAGAGTCAAAGAGATCTTCGAAGCACCGCATCCAATGCAACTAACTTGCGGCTTTTCAAGGTCTTGCACAGCCAGGTCCAGGATGAGGCGAAAGGGGGTGGGGGCCTGCAGCAAGGATGAGTCAACAGTTGCCTTCAGGTTTCGAAGTTTGGCTTCAAGGGGTGCCGGTCAGGGTAGGTGACATCAGGTGACTTTACCTGCGAGTTCGGCTCCGCGGCGGTGTGCCGTGGTGCCCAAGGACCTAGATGTGCTTGGAGCCCTCCCTCGTCTGATGGTCTTTCCTTATACTTATCAACTGACTATGTCCCGACTATCGTGACTGTCGAGTCGGAAGCACAAGCCTGCGTCTGGCTGACGGCTCCACCCGATTCTGCCCTGTTTGGGCCATGTTCTGCAAAACAGCAATTGTGCGGGGGATACCGAGCAGTCGCGGTTGAAAGGCATGGGAACATCGTCATGAGGCTCGCTTGCGGTTTTGTTGTATAGCACACTTGTGCTTTGATCGGTCCTCTCAGCTGAGTCATGACCCGTCGATCGTACATGTTCGTACATACCGTTGCGGTCTGGCGATGGAATCACTTGAAATGTTCTACGGAGTTTCCTGCTTTCAGTCAGCGAGAGCCGACTGGGAAACGATCGGTCGTCAGAAATCTCAAAGACAATTCCAGTCAGAAATGCGAGATATCGATTAAACAGCTTCGAATGAAGTCCATGCCGCAGACTTCGCCAGTGATGTGAAAGCAGCGCTAAAAAAGTGGCACGCAGGATATGCGGATCTTTCTTGAGCGTTTGTTGTCAGTCGATCCTGTCGGCCTGGCTAACAGCCCGTCGAGCTTGCAATACTTGTGACATCTAGTTCTCGAAGACGAAAGCCTTTTTGTTTGGGTCCCGAGCTCCGTTCTCGCCGGCACTCCGGGCACAGGGCCTGATATCGCAAGCAAACTCAGGGACATTCGCTCAGAGAGCTGAGTGAGCCAGTTTTTTCGCAGGCAAAGGCCACGAAGCAGGAGATACAGTCGCTCTTGGCGATTGTTCTGCAGCTGGACTCCGCCGTGGTCTTAGGATTTCCCGTGGGTACGCTCGGTGTAGGGACCCTCTGGTTCAAAGCTTGGCTCCAAGGCATTGCGTGCCCGACACCAGCACGTCCACAGTGCGGAGGCCTCTGTGAGTTCCGACTCGCCTCCGGTAGCTTTCGTTCGACATGCCTTTTTGGTTCTGCCGTGCAGGTTAAAAGTGATGCCATCGATGTGTCTGCTGCCTAAACGCCTTCGATCAACTTGCCGTCAGAGTCAATGCTGAGAGAGCTGCGTGCATTCGTGCTGGTGCTAGTGATGCCGTGCTCCGAGGGCTCTCCATGCACTGCTCCGCAATAGACCCGATGCCGTGGGTGTGGTTTGCCGACTGCGTCGCAGCCTCAGGGCGGGGATCCGGGAAGCTTTGCTATTGCCGACGATTGGCGAATACTCGTATCGTTTCGCGCCCGCTTTGCAGTGGTTTCGCAGCATGCCGTTAGGAGCAAGGATGGTAAGGCTCATGAGACTTTTATGCTTGGAGAAACCCACGGCATTGCAGAGTACATGTTGAATTTCATCCCATGCGCGCTGGGGCTCGCCGATCGGGGCCCATGCAACAGACAAGCCTCAGGACAAGGACTCCGAAGGGACTTCCGGCCGGTACAAGCAAAAGCTGGGGTACCATGGCTGCAGGACTCTTCACGAGGGCGAACTCACTGTGCTGCGGCGTGGAGGAGCCGAAAGCAGGCACCGGGCGTTCAAAGCAGTCTCAAGGCATAGCAATGTCGCGCTTGTCGAGTAACATGCCAGCTCAGCATATTGTGTGCCAAATTTCGCTGAGGGGCATCTCTCTGCAGGTACTGCATACTGTGCTACGAGACATTCCAATACTACACATCCGCGAAGGACTTTAAGCAGGGCAAGGCCCCATTGGTAACCTTTCCCCTGCTGGCAACCAGCAGCTTCGAAGCCAGCCCAACAGGCACGGATTCTGGCCGTTCGGATGTGTGAGTTCGCAGTTGCGTAAGACTCTAAGAAGTAGATGGTTCTCCCCATGTCTCTGAGACCAGGCCTGAAGTTACGTCGCCGGACGATTTAGCAACACTTTTTTGCTTTCAGAATTTTGGTGGTGCCTGAGCAACGCAACACGAGCGTCTCCGCAGTTCGACCGTGCGATTCGGCCCAGGTCACGGTGCCAGGGTGATTTTGCTCGAAGGGCAATGCGTGCCCTCCTTGGTCTTCGCTCGACTCCTCAGCCTCAGGGACTCGGGGCTTCGTTAGGTTGCGCAGCTCAGGAGGACGTGGCCTTGTGGTGCCAAGCCCTGGAAGAAGCCTTCGGCACGGCCAAAACACGTGGCAGTGAGTGCCTTGGCTGCACCAAACGGATCTGACGAACGCATGGGGGAACAGAGACAAAGACGTGATGTGGCCAGCGATGCGTGCTTGTGACGCGCACAGGCTGGAGCTTCACATTCTTGGCTTCGATGGGCGGCTCTGCAGAGTCCTGGCGGACGCTTGCCTCCAAGGGCCCCCGCCCCCCCCCCCTCACTCTGACTGCGACTTTGACTTTGCATAGCACTCGCCAGTGCCGTCGGGCTGCCACGTGCCAGGAGCCTGCGTGGAGAGTCCGGGACTTGAAGGCTCATCGAGATCCTTCTTAGGGAAATGCATGCCTACATCTGGTTTTGAACGAATGCCGCGGATAATCTTGGTATTTTAGATACGCCGGATTCTATTCACAGGAGTTTAAAGTAGCCCCAGAGTAACCTATATCCACTGCCAAATGCAGGCAGTTATTCATTCTGCAACGAACATTCTCCCGAGCGAGCAGCGCCTGGTTTTCCGGCGACCTGCCAGCATTGCTTTGGCATTGGATCAGGGCTTTTAGTACTTTCTGTACTTTTAGGAATCGGTGGCAAAAGGGGAATCAGGGATCCCTTTTCATGCTCTGCCTCGGCCCTCGCTGTTATGTTGACGGCACCTTAAAGACTTCTGCTGCGGCCCCTGAAAGGCTTGAGTGAAACATGCACGCAATGCTTTTGCAGCAGCGTATGGTATCCTTCAGCACAGACACGCGCACTGATCGCAGCAAACGAGGACGGAATTGCTTGATGATCGGGATCTGCTGCGGGGAGTCCTCTGCGTGGACGAGACGGTGCTGCCATCGAGCGTGCTTTGCCAGCTTAAGACAATCCACGGAGTCGGTGTTTGCTGAGAGCAAGCGGCTTGAGGCAGAGAATGCACTTGAGCTTCACCTTGTGCGCTGTCCTCCTATAGCAGAAATCAAAGCGGCAGGACGTTTCATGCCGCCCAATAGTTTTTTGGATGATGGAGCCCCTGCCCTCCGACAGTGAACGGCTTCTTCTGCAGGACTTCAGCGAAAGCGAGAAGACATGCTACAGGCCGTGCGCAACAACTGGCAGCAGCTAGGCGAGGCAGAGGCTGCTTGGAGGCGGGTGGAGCATCCTTTTGCTGAGGTCTTTCGGAACAGTTGGAGAATTTGATTTCATCGTCTGGCAGGCGAGATCGAGAAATTGTTCTGGCTGCAGTGTGCCAGGAGCAGAGCCAGTGGAACCGTCAAGCGGGACCGTCTGATTGTCGGAGAGCAAGAAGCATCTGCTCGGGTCAGGACTGCATGGCCCTGCAGTTCGCATCAGAGGACCTGCGCGAAGACCCGGAGATTATCATGGCAGCTACCTGGCCGCGGCTATAGAATCACCACCCGTGAGCTCTGTCCCGAGCCATAATGACTGAGGCCCTTCGACAGTCGGGCACAGCCTTGGGCTTTGTGCGCGGCCGCATCAAGGAAGATCCAGAGGTGCTCTCCATGGCCATCGGCTTCCTTGAGAGAAGCCTTGGGAGATGGTGTTTCTTATGCTCTCGCTACTGATAGCCTACCCAATGTTCATACATGGACATCCTGTCATCAATGCCCATGCTCTCATAAGGTTACTAGCGCGACCCACCATGAACGTGTTGGTGAACAACGCATTGTGCTGACTCATTCAAGCAGATGTGGGCAACGAGTACTTGCAGCTTGGCCAGAAGCAACATGGTGAATCTTCAAGGTGATCACCTGCAGACGTCCCTGAATGCGGCACACGCGGACCGCCTCGGCACCGCGGTTCTTCCGGATACGACGTTCAATGTGACGGGCATTCACCGCCCTGAGTGGGCTAACAGCAGAGGTCCTCTATGGAGGCCTGCACTGTAGTCCGCGGTTGAGCAAGCCCCACCATCTTGGCCCCTCTAAGTTCATCCTCCAAGAGTCTGCCCGGCCGTGGAAAAAGCGACCAGATGCATGCTTTCGAGCTGGAAGTGCCAGTGCCCACCCCTGCTTCCCTCGAGGACGCCGGGCCAACTTTTCTTTTGCACGTAAGTTTTCGCCCAGGTCATGCGCACTACATCATCGGCTCAGCCCAAGTTGAGCTCATGGTGATGTCCTCAGATGCCGGCTTAATGAGTTCAATGCTGAACCACGAGCGGATGTCACCGAGGAAGCATCATGCCCGACAACCTTTTGCTATGTAGGTGCCATGTACAGTGTGCTCATATGACAGATCTGATGGACAAGTATGGGCTGCTAATGAAGATTAATGAAGGCCCCCCCAACATTCAGATACCGAACATCCATAAACCGATAAAGCCTGAAACTACGACCAAGCTCTCAACTGAAAGCCTCAAACATCCACTGAGTTATCCCTCACGGAGCGCGGCAAGTGCCTGTGCACGAACACACAGGCTGGTCCAGGGGGCTCTCTCCTCTTCCGCCACTCCGCTGATCCGCATGGAAAGGCCTGGCGTTGCAAGGCAAGTAGTGAAGCATGTGGAACACAAAGAGTCCAGCGGCATACCACACACACACACACGGATGCACACGCTTGTTAACATACATTTGTACGCATATAAATGCAGGGATGCATCCACGGGTCTCGTCATCTTAAATGCATGGTAACGCGCATGCCTACATCCTTGCATGGAACATACACACGCGTGTATGTACAATGTTGTCTTGATTTGTATACATTTCAATACGATGCATGAACAGAGAAACGTGATGCAGCATGGTTGCAGTGTTGCACACCATTCAGGTCTAAGACAAGACACGATACTGTACTGTAATCCGAGGCAGCATCTTTTGCAATACAGTTTCATCGATAAATACCATGCGTAACATCGAGTACATCACAATGCCGTAGAAGAGCATAGCAAGACATAATCTGGTACTGCATAGCCGAATACCACGTCATCATATTATGCATATCTGTATATGTATATATACACACATATGTTTACATCGTAGCAGCATGATGTAGCGCAATGTAAAGCTACAACAAGGGGAACATAATGTGGACTTTCGATTCATGACCAGACAGAAGCTCAGCAGCAATTGAGACGCGACATTACATAAGCAGAAACATCTCCAGCAGGTTTAGGAGAGCTAGTACTAGAATTAATCTGTACTCACGCTAGTAGTAGTTAGTAGTGATCGTCGTGGCGTTGTTACAGGCAAAGTCGTGGTATTAGTAATTAGAAATAGTACGTATGATTGGTATTGGTAATAGTATGAGCAGTAGGTTTGTACTATTAGTACTCGTATAAGTATGGGTGCTAGCTGCCGTTTCCGGTCTCGCTGTTTGGGTTTCGGGCCTCCGCCCCTTTGGGATGCAGAGCTCCGTCTAACAGGGATTCGCGGCTACTCCCTAGGAAAGTTGATGGCCTGGCACCCTTTTCCATAGCGGTTGATAAAGAAGTCCTTGACCAAAGCCGGATTCTAGAGCTTTGCTGCTGCTGCTGCTGCTTGAGCTTTGTATTAGGGTCGAGGGCTTGGTGCTTTATTTAGACCCTACAACACTGAACCCTAAGCCTCACATCTCAAGGGACCCTACAGACCTAAAGCAGGGCTTAAGTTGCCAATTTAGACCTAAAGCACTGAACCTGTAACCTGAAGCCTCCTACCGGGTTTGTGGCTTCAATTACACACTCACGCACGAAATCCGGCGACCTTTTTCGCTAAGTTTCGCTCAATCCCGTTCTTTATTAGTCGCAAGCCACCATGGAACTGTGTAAAGTGATGTGATCTCTGGTCATGCGTCTGTATTTATCCATCTATCTATCTACCTACCTATCTACCTATCTATATCTATCTGCCTTCCTATCTACCTATCTATCTACCTACCTATCTACCTACCTACCTACCTATCCATCTATCTATCTAGCTAGCTATCTATCTATCTATCTATCTATCTATCGCATGCGCTGACTGGCCATGTTTGCATGCACACATGCATACATTCTTGCGGATATGTTGGTGCATATGTGTGTATATATATATGTATGTATACATCCACGGCATATGTATTTGCTGGTAGAACTTGAGACACGCACATGCGGCGTAGGCAAGACTGTCTGCGTGACACAGCCAAGCGAAATTGCACTCCGAGCTCGAGTCCAGAACTCGCCAGCCAGGCAGAGCCGGTGATGGCCCTCTTTCATCATCAGGTGCACTAGTGCCGTTCTGTTCTGTTCGTGGTTGGTAAAATGGCGCCAGATTAAGATTTACAGCATGACTGTTGGTGGTGCTGCGCACGCAAATCAGCCACCAAAGGAAAGAGCAATGGCAGTGGCAGTGAGCTTCTCGGTTCGACTTCGCCACATAAACATAACCCATGAGTGATTAAATCTGGAACCTGGTGATGAAAGGCTTTGCTCCGTCGCATCTTGTCTGCTTTTTGTTAGCGCAGTGCGTTTTGGTATTCGGCTGCGCAGGCGAGGCAGCACAAACACACGGTCCATCCGCATCACCACTTCTGAGTGGGTAAGTTTTCAAGCTAGACACCCTTGTGGTTGCAGTCAGGAGGCGTTGGTGTAGGTTGTTGCCACTGCTTCTCCGTTCGCATCTGGCCTCCTCAGCCCAAGTTTCGCAGCGAAAACCGCTGTGCTCAAAGCGGGCAGAGCAAGCTTTTCGGGAAAAGTCCGCAGCCGTCGCAAGCACGGCAGCTCCACGTAGTGAGAGGCGTTGCACTGTTGTTGCATCAGTTTTCTCCATCCTCCTCCCTGAGCACATCTTCATGTCTTGTTTATGGCCTTTGTGTATCTTTCAATGGGCAGGATCGGTTTGAGTCGGTGATGTTCAGCCTCTATGTCAACGGATTTGCTTTCTCCACGCTTGATGGGAGAGAGGCGGGCATTCTTGCACAGCTCAAGAACCCACAAACCCTAAGCCCTGAACCCTAAACCCGAAGCCCTAATCCCCTAAACCCCACGCCCTAAACCCAGAGAGTCCGAGTGGGACTTGGGACAGGCATCGGTCTCATTGTCGCCATTTTCACTGATCCGGAATTGCCGGTTTCAGCCCTGTCCTCAGTAAAGCGGGCAGAAAGGGCAGACTCGGGGCTTCGGAAGTTGGATGCGTCCTTCTCGGATCTCCTCATCTCTGTGACAGACGGTTCAGGTCTGGCGAATGTTCCAGACTGAAGAGCTTCAAGGCCTGAATATATATATATATATATGTATATAATATCATATAATATAATATAATATAATTTATATATAATATAAAATATAATATATGTATATATATATATATATATGAGCTTCAAGGCCTGGTCAGTGCAGCTTTGGCCTTTGGCCCATCCGGAAAGAGCAGGTCAGACCAGAGACACAGCCACGGACACTAGGAATTCGCCAACCTTCCGGCAGAGTCTGTGCAGGTGTCGTTGCAAGAGCCAGACCCCTGCTGCTACTTCGCCGTGCGAAGGGCCGAGACAAGACTGGGAATCTGACCTCGATCTGATCGTCCTTGAGCGCTGGATTGAGATCCTGCTGACTTGAGACATATGGTTTGTAGCAAAGAAGCAGCCGCTCAGGCGAAGCACGGAAGAGCGAGAAGCAGAGGAGGACCGTTGACGCTTCAAAGCGACCGCAACCCATTCTGCGCAGTGTTGTTTTCTGCGTTATTGCTACCAAAGCAGTTGAAGTCGTTCATGCTGCCATGGTTATTGCCGATGCAACATAAGCATCTTTGTCTTGTTGCCGATGGGAGCGACAGCCAGGGGTCTTGCTCTTACCGTACCAGCGCACCTCTCTGCGCCATGACCCGCGATGACCCACGCATCCTCTCCGAAAGCAGAAATTTACTGCTCGTGGCAGAGGTATGTTCAACAAGACACTGGCAGGCTTCCTAGACCATGCTACTATTGTGCCTTAGGTGCGAGGTACAGCTCCCTGTCTCCGGTTCTTAGGTTCGTTTGATCGGGTTGACCACAAGTTGTTGTACCTAGTACATACCTTGGACTCGCACACAACGAGGCTTTCCTTTGAACGGGATTTCGAGGGCGCTTACTCTATGAGGCTGTTGGTTGGACGACGTGACGTTGGTTTACCGAAGCTTGCCCACTGCCCGGGCAGTAGCAGCGGATAACGACTTCTGGCACAGTGTGTTCTGTCTGCTGATCACAGTCCCTGCGCCTGCTTTTCCCCCAATCTGAGCGTCTGCCTTTCTGCTTCCAGTACTGTACTTGACACTGCTTGCTCATATCTCGCCTTATGTTACTTGCCTTGATTTGCACCCGGTCCGCGGTTCTCGGTACACTGTTGGTTCATGCTTTACCATCTGGACAACGTAGCTTGGTTTAGCTTGTTGCTTCGTCATCAAGGTGCAACATGCAGCCAATGCTACACAGTCGACAAGCGTCATTTCAATGGATGTTT